CATGTGATAAATACAACTGCAGTCTTTCAGAAGAAATGATTGAGATATCATTATTATTATGATTATTACTAAACTGATATGATGTCATTTGTAAACAGTTTGAAAAAAGAGGGTGCAACAGAGCTCAACAAATAAATAAATCACTTATTAATTAGAAGTTTATCCCTCTGCTCTAAAGACTCAGGTCAGATAACAAAACAAGGCTGGCTGGTTACCAACAAAACAGACAGGAGAAAATGGCAAAAGGGGAAAAAGAAATAAAACTAGATGTAATAATAGCATGTTTTATTATACTGAGCTCACTATACATGCAGACAGGATAAAAATAACTTTTTAAGAGTTAGCAGTTAATAACAACCCTCAGCACTGAAAATCTTGTTTTTTGCTCTCAAAACAGTATCAAAATTGATTTTCATGGGATTCTAGAAGGACAAAAACAATTACAGGGTATGATTTGTTTATGGAAATCCTAGAATCCATGGTGATAAGGATTACACAAAATCAGGGCAGTAAAACCTATCAGTGACCAAAAGTTATTACAGCTGTATGCCTGCTTTTCCCCAGAAATTAATGTTTGTGATATTTATTTCTATGGCATAATCTCCTCATACTTAAAGGCACAGTAAGGGCAGCGTCTTCTACCAGCAAAGCAATGTTGTCCCTGTACTTTCAAGGAAAGTGCCCCTAAAGACTCCTTTGAATATTATAGCCACACAAAGTGTAATATTAGATAAAGCTGGACTTATATTTACTCAAATTGTCCCTTAGAATATAAAACAAAGCCACGTTCTTTATATAGTCTTGTATCAGGACTTGGGCCACTCTACACTGGAAATTGGGATCCATCTTGGACATTTTAAAAAAATCTAAACTTTCTATTAATGGTTCTGAATATCATGTAAACATATTCAGATAGCATCCTATTTGTACTTTTTAATCTGATTTTCATTGAAAACTTCTTACCGGGTAATATACAATAATCATATACCAGAAATAATGTATGAACAAATATATTACATTAATAGTTCAAAAAATAAGATAACAATACCATCATTTTGGGAAACTGGGCAAATACTGTAAAAAAATATTTCCCTAACAGAGACACAAAAAATAATGGTTTTCCTTTCATTCCTGGTATAGTTTTCTTTATCAAAATGGAAATCTGATCATTATTCATCAAATTATTAAGGTACCATCCCAATGAAATGTAGAAAATGCTCAGGACCCTTTGAGGACATTGAAAGCCCCATAGCAACTATTACAAACTCTTCCTTTTCTTTCTCTCACATCGAGATCTTCAATCTGGCCAAAGATGAAAAAATCTACCTCTACTAAGTAACCTTAAAAGTAGTACTTTGAGTCACCTGTCAAAGACAGATGAGCATTAACAATGGAATCAGCAGAGCAACCAAAGATAGCAAAGACCCATGGAAGGCACATGAGCCAGACAAGATGACTTGGCAAAAGTGATAGATAGGAGGTCAGCCAAAACAGCAAAGAGTTGGGAGCAATAAAGTGGGAGCAATAAAGTGCTAGAGCCAAGTGATAGTCACCACACCAGAGAACCCACAATAGGATGCTACAAAGTCACAGTGGGAGTTGCTTGCTAGATTAGATTCCTCTCAAACTAAGTGCCATTCCAAAAAACTATCTGGGAAGAATACTGTTATGGCTTTTATTTACAAGAACACCCCCATCTCCTCAGTGTGATCATAACTGCAACATTCATTCCAGCAGACATTTGCTCCATTTTTAAGGAAAATCCATCTGTTAACAGACAACAAGGCATCTGTCCTGGTAGAGCTGGAACTGTGGAATTATCAGCTTGTGCCAAGTTTATTGTGATTTTTACAGAGATTTTAGGTACCATTTGGTCCATTGGTGGGTTGCTCCTGGTTCTGTCCGGTTCTTCAGAACTGGTAGTAAAAGCAGCGGGAGGCTCCACCCACCTACCCGGATGTCATAATTGACAATCTGCGCATGCACAGAAGCTTCTGCGCATGAGCAGAAGCGCGCGGGGAGGGGGGCTCCTGTTGTGAACCGATAGTAAGGGTAAGTAGAACCCACCCCTGATTTGGTCTCTTTGGAGTCAGAATTGAATCCTGGTAACCACAATAATAATTCCATATAGTTTTCTAGGCAACATTTTGAGGTACTAGATGAATATTACTCCCATTCTTTTTCTGACCATGATCAAATGAAACATTTAAAATGGACAATGTTGTGCAATTACTTGTAGAATTTGCCAGCAAGGAATAGCCAATTAAATTCTATTTATTTTAGGTGGCAATCTTTAGTATAGGATTATAACTATGAATGCCAATTGGCTTGATGCCATGGTTTATTGTTTTTATATTCTATCTTTCTTCTATTCAAACTGTCAAATTTTATTTATTGTTTGATTTGTTGTCTTAGTCTATAAGAATAGAATTAAACTAAATTAAATGCTACAGAATGTTGAATAAGCCTACAGCTTCCATCTTAGGTTTACTTAGCATTGTATTGACCAATATAAAGCATTAATATTCAGTTATGTTTACGTGCATGTGTGCATATATGGCAGGAGGGAGGGAAGGAGGGAGGGAGAGAGAGAGAGATTACAGATTTTAGTGTAAGCAATATTATGCAGAGGTCAGAAAAGGAATAAAAAATGGTAAAGTGAAGAAAAGCATGAGATACGAAAAAAATTAAATCTAATTTATAGCAATATTGTTTACTATACTTTTTCAAACTTTTTTATTCATATAAACCATCACTTTTTCAAATCTGCCTTCCTTCAAATTGTTATATTATTTTCCAGTTAGTTCAGCAATCTTTAATTAGTGTACGTTACAATATAGTTAGATGTCCTTTAGTTGCTTCAAAGTGACAATAAGATATTCTATATATACTGGTACAGAGAAACCAGCACAACAACCTTCCCCTTTCTAAAAACAACTATTCATATGAGGAACTTTTTAAAAATGTAAATACCTAGATAATCCTGTTATAAAGGAAACACAACACCAAGAGATAAGCCATTTAAGAGGCAACCAAAGCCTTAAGGGAAGCAACAGAGCTCTTCAAAGCTAGAAGATTAATCTCCACAGGAGTTCCAGAAATGAAATAGAGGAAACAAGCTTTATCTGAATAAGGATTAAATAATAATTTTCTTTTCTTGCTTTCTATATTTGTGGGATATAAGGACGAGAATATTTATTGATCTTCAAAGTTCTTGAGAATCTAACAGGAAATTATTTGATGACATGATACAATAAACCATGGAAAAATTCAGCTGAAAGGTGCAGAAAAAAAGACTAACTGGGGGCCGATATAGAGGATTTTCCAGTATTTCAAGTTAAATAGATTTTTTTTTTTTAATCCAGAGCTGCACAACTAGAGGCCCAGGACCACCCTCTAAAGTACCGAATGTCCTTGAATGTGTCAGAAGAGGAACATTATGGAATACATGACAGAGACAATATTAAGTTTGCTCATTTTTAGTTATATGTAAAAGAAATGAAATCAAATTTAAATTTAATTGTTTGTCTGCCTGTTACTTTTTGTATACAGTCACTAGCATGCAACATAGAGGCTAAATATTCAGCTCGGAAAAATTGGTTCATTGCCAAAGAGTAAACAAGGCATTTCAAGCCTTAACTTATCAAACAATTCACTTCTCAGCATGAAATTTTTAGAAAGCAAGAAGATCCATATCCTCTATGGATCCAGCACTATAAATTCAGCACTATAAACTTGGCAACTTTAAGATTTGTGGAACTTCACCTCCCAGAATTCCCCAGTCAGTCAGTCAATCAGTCAAGCCCTGTTCACCCAAGGCTACAATTTGAAGTGTTTGTCCACCTAGTTTTTTGACCAAGTCCATATATATATATTTTAAAATCAGGAAATGTTGGAAAAAAGATTTTTCTTCATCTATAAACTTTCCAAATCTGTCAAAGGAGTGGACAGTGCACTCAGGGATGGCTGCATCCTTTACAGATTTTGAAATGTACATAGGTTTGATAAAAATTATTTGTTCTAGCTCTGTGCTATTTATGCACTTTTTTTCCTATCAGACACAACGACCTTAGTCTTTAACACACTAATTTTCAGATTCTGTATCCTATATCGTGCAAGTCATCTTCACATTTACTGCAAACCATTCAGGTTTGCAACAACAGAACATAAAATGTCGGGTTCAGGTTCCAGTCAATGTGCCTCCAACATCACCAGCCAGCCAGAGGTGGTGTTTGCTGGTTCTCCGAACTACTCAAAATTTCCGCTACCGGTTCTCCAGAACCTGTCAGAACCTGCTGAATAGCACCTCTGCTTTGGGAGAAGATTAAAGAAAAGGTTATCAGTATGGGGTATATGAAGTGGGGAGGGGGCTCAGAAAAGTCAAGATGGTGGTCGCAACCATGTGTTCAAAGCCTCACAGAAAAAAGTCGTGGGGCTTTGACCATATGTATGTATAGTACAGCCATTATATTGACTTTTTTTTTTACTCTCCTGAGGACACCCTTGTTACCAACCCTAGTCAGATGCATCATTCCTGTTATTGTAAAGAAAAGTATTGTTCTAGTTTGGCACATTTTGGACAGTATGCCACAAAAGCTAGTAGACTCCAAGCAAATTCCTGCTACTCTAGGTAAGCTGTGATTTCTCCATGTTCTACCAATTTGGAGGCCCATGTAGTATACCAACACATTTCTCTGGATACATAAAGGGAATTCGTAATAATGACATTTGTTGTCCCAAACACCTTATAGCAGGAATAAGCTATCATAGTAGACTTTACTCAGAACTAGGAATCTTCAAGACTGCACATTCAGTAACATAACCAGCTAATTCTCCATAGACTTGATATATAAATAATAATATGTTAACATAATAATAACATAAATAAATATGTTAGATTTCTGAGAGGTTAACCTATCTATAAGAGGGGGAGTGAAGTCTAATCAGAGCAGCACTGAAAACATTTTCTAAAAATTTGAAAGATCCCAGGATGTCTTTACCTTTGCAGTTTATCTTCTAGCACTTCCATATACTTGACAGTGTTTTCTTTCAACTTTTTCTCTGTAAGACAAACATGATTTTTTTCACTGAGAGAAGAAAGAAAAAAGTTATAACAAAATTTATAGAAATTGATAGAAGAATTTTACATATTTCGCTCCAAATGAAATTTTGTTGTGTACAGTTTTCAGATTTAAAGTTAAAGATGTGCTCTTTAATAAGAGTCGCATTTGGCGAGATGGGTAGCTATGTAAATTTGACGAATGAATAAATAAGAAATACCCAGCTGCTAAAACACTAAAGGTAAAGGTTTCCCTGTCAGTAGTATCTGACTAGGGCACGGTGCTCATCTCCGTTTCTTGACCAAGGGAGTCAGCGTTGTCTAAAGACAATTTCCATGCTCATGTGGCCAGCATGGCTATATGCCAAAGGCACACGTAATACTGTTTCCTACCCACCAAAGTGGTGCCTATTAATCTACTTGCATTTGCATGCTTTCACATCACAAGGTGAGCAGGAGCTGGAGCTAGTAAGGGGAGCTTACCTGTTACACGGAGCTTGGCTCGAACCCAGGCTGTCAGCTCTTCAGCTGACAAACTCAGTATCTTTAACCACTGAGCCATTGTGTCCCCTTGCTAAACACTACAAGTGGAATAAGATTCATGAAAGAAAACACACCAGTTTCTTCAAAGATGGAGAATTGTCTTAGGTTCTTTTGAAACTATATCCAGTTTGTGGGACTCAAAAGATGCATCAACAGCACAAGTCTTTATACAACCAGGATGTATTTCTCCCTACAGTCTGAGAAGATATTGTGTGCTTGCAAACTGTCCAACATACAGAACTGCACCAGAATATATAGCTCTAACTATGTCTGTTATTGTCTCACTCTATATTCCCTCCTGTTGATAGTAATTCTACTTCACTAGACTGATTACTAGAAACACAACTTGTATTACTGCTCACGTACTAGTCTAAACCCCACAGTATTACTAACAAGGTTTTCTTCCTCCAAATTCTGTTCTGACTCCTAATTTAATTTCTCTCTCCAGAGGTTTTTCTGCTTCCTTGATAGATCTGCTTCTCTACTTCTTTCTTCCTGACCCTTCCTTCTCTTAGAAAAAATATTCATTATTTTTTTCTGGCTGCTTTTTGACTGTTTTGCAGGAAGAAGCACACATACCTGTTCCACAGCAAAGCTTTTATAGGCAGCTTTGTCAGTGCTAACATTGGGGAAAGGGATCAAAAGGGAGGGCTGAAGGCCAGCAATTGTCTGTGGATCTGCTCCTCACAAGAACATACATGACAAGGTCTTTAAATATTTGTCTATAGAAGGACCTAATTATTGATTGTGATGGCCTGAAAAGAGTAAAGCGAGTAAATCCTATGTATATAATAATCTTAGAACTAATCATTCCAGAGACATCATTTACTCAGATAAGGTTTTAAGATTTCAGCATCTGTTAAATTTAAACCCCATTTACAAGCAGCTATGTAAATCAGCATACATGGAGAAATTGGTCCATAACATATATGGTCCAATAACATTGCAGAGATGCCCTCACTTTAGGAACCCAACCTGTGTGAAAAAGAAACTTTCACTACCTAAAAGATGGGAAATGAAAAAAAAAACCTTAAAACATTGGATGGATTACCATGTCCAAGTGTGTTTCTCCACTAATTGGTCTGATGTTTCTGATAGAGGTAGACAGACTTATCAGGATAGACTTTTCTGTTCCTAGCTTCTGGTGATCAAGAGACTTGGTCCTTAGATACTCCAATTTGGTTTAAATCAGGGGTGAAATGCTCCCAGTTCGGACCGGATAACCCGATCCGGTAGCGATGGAGGCGGTTAGTTTGGAGAACCGGTAGCAAAAATCCCTGCCCCCCCACCCCTCTCCATGCCCAGATGAGCCACACAATCATCAGATGTTTTTTTTTTACTTTTAAAAGCATTTTTTCTACAACCTCTTCGGCCAAAAAATGCTTTTAAAAGTAAAAAAAAAAAGCCTCTGATGATTGCGTGGCTCAGCTGGGCGGGGGGGGAGCAGAGGGGCAAGGATTTTTGCTACCAGTTCTCCGCCTCCATTGCTACCGGATCAGGCGATCCGGTCCGAACCGGGAGCATTTCACCTCTGATATTACCTAATTTAACCTAAAAATGCCTATATCATGTAGGGGCTAGAGGAAATCTATCCACCTTGGTCCATGGTCTGCTAATTTAAAAGGTGGGGAAGAATCACATAATATGTTTTATATGAGGCATATCATCTTTACACCAGAGTTAAGGTATATTTAAATTGCCCCTATTTATTCTAAACATTCTTCTATCTTCCAGAGTTCAATCCGAGGACTGTAAAATTACTGAGATGTGGCTTCCTTGAATCTCACAGCAGTCTCATATAAAAGTTAAAAAAAAAAAAAGTAAAGTCTTCTACCTGTGTTCAGGTTTAAATAGCAAACACTGTCAATCAAACAGGTGATAAATCCTTTGATAATACAACAGCTTTATGCTCCAGCTTTCATTCCTCTCTGCCCTGATCTCATCATCATACGGCCCTGGAGGATGACATAACACTCTCCTTCATTCTAATGTACAATAGCAATAATCCGGTAACTGGAGGAAAAAGGGATCTCTGCTTCATAATGACTTTGTTTCTAACTAATGTTTCAATATATTCTATTACATGAATGATAAACCCTAGTTCCAATTTCTCCTGCTGTGCCAGCTGGATTTTAATGGGATATTATCTGACATAGTAATTCTTGCTTTTCGCAGTTGTGTCCTATTCCCTATGTGCAGTTTTACAAGGTCCTTGAAGCAGATAGCTTAATAAATCAGGAGTACTCAATGACAAAAAGGGACCAGGTAGGAAACCATCAATAAGCGAAAAGTAGGTCAGTTAAAAAACCCTCCAGGAATAACATACACAGAGTTCCATCAAATGCTTTATCTAAACTGAAATGACAAAGAACATCATATGATTCTCTCACGTCACAGGGAATAAGTTAAAACCCTTTAAAATAACAGTCAAATTATTTCCCACCAACCATTTGAAGAAAATGCCACCAAATATATCTGGATTTTCATTATGTTTAGATTGACTCCAAGCTACTGACATGAAGTTTTAACTGAATGCAAGTCAGTGGCAATTGCTCAAGGAAAGGGAAGTATAGGAATCCAACGTTTCTAAATCAAACCACAAAAAGAATGTAATTGTGCTACAAGTTGGGCAAGAGAGAATTATGCAACTGCACTCTATGTACTGTATACGTCAAAAGATTTGTTTTCATTATCTCTTTGTGTTCTTGTCCCCAAGGTTGATGTGCTCAGCTCTTATTGGCCATAAAAGAGACCTACCCATATAAATATTATACCTACTAATGGAAGAAGATAATAATAAAAACCATCCTTTGCAGACACAAAATATGCTTCTAGCAGTGCCCTTTTTTATGCTTATCTCTTTGGAAACAAGACTGTAATGCTGAAAGCACCATCAGATTGTATAGAAGAAAGGCAGCCAGACCAATACCCATCCTCCCAGCATCTATTTGCTAATAATATTATACTGTCGTTGCAGGATATTAATTCAGAAAAATCTGCTTTAAAATGCTATGAATTATTCCTAGGGTTCTAAAATGAATGGATTCATGTGAATACACCACATGCCCCATATTGTAGCAATAGCAGTAGCACTTAGACTTATATACCACTTCATAGTGCTTTACAGCCCTCTCTAAGTGGTTTACAGAGTCAGCCTATTTCCCCCAACAATCTGGGTCCTCATTTTACCGACCTCAGAAGGATGGAAGGCTGAGTCAATCTTTAGCCGGTCAGGATCGAACTGTACCTTATATGATGAGCACAAGAGCTCAGAACAGGCCAAAATTATATTTCCAAACATGCTATTGCAAGAATAATATGATGCTTGAAACAAAGCTGATAATCTTGGTGTAATCTTGTATTTCCAGATTCCTACTCCTCTTCTAGGCATAACAGTCCTAAGAATTAAAGGAATTGTCCACAGTAGGTAACCAAGCCAGAAAGAGATGCACAAAACCACAAAACTATTCAGGTAAACAGAAAATTAGAAGGTCTGCAAATACTTACATATTTAAAGATGAGCAGAAGTCAATTACCCAAGCAATCATCAAGAAAAAATAGAGTCATACTTACCGTAGTATTTTCTGATATTATACTTTAAAGTATTATTTCAGTGACAGGAGGATAAATAACTTACTAAAAACAAAGAAGAAAACTGGTGAAACATCAGAAGAGCCTTGCTGGCGCAGTGGACTAAGTGCTGTTAAAGTAGTACTTAGCTGCCAGCTGCCTGCAATTACTGCGAGTTCAAATCTCACCAGGCTCAAGGTTGACTCAGCCTTCCATCCTTTTGAGGTAGGTAAAATGAGGACCCAGATTGTGGGGGCAATAAGCTGACTTTATATAAAAAAGAACACCGCTTGGGGAGGGCGAAAGCCCTACTAAGCAGGTATATACAAAAGTATGAAGGCTTTTGCTTAACGCATTGTAAGCCACCCTGAGTCTCCGGAAAAGGGCAGCAAATAAATCGAACTAATAAATAAATAAATAAATAAATAAATAAATAAATAAATAAATAAATAAATAAATAAATAAACAAACATTAGTTCTGGAAATTAAATAAAAGTATCCATGTAGTTTTGAACTATGCCCACATAATACACTTGAATCAGAAGGTTTAGTATGCTATAATTGCAATAAGCCCAAAAACATTATGTGGTGTTCACAAGTATACGGTCTCTTAAAGTTTTTGTTCTAGCTTTAGGCTTTATTCAAGTTTGTTAATAAAAACAATCTGTTGTCCGCAAAAAAGATTTAAGGTGACTTTCAATAATGAAGGCCAATGCAACTGAAATTATGATTATGTGAAACAGATGAGGAGTGGTACAAGCTTCTTAAGGAGCATAAAAGAGAAATGTTAACATAAAAGAGAAATTTTAACATCGCAGGTCAGGAGCCAAACGTGAGCTACAGTAAGAGTGCTCCTTTTTCTTTATGCAGACCACTAGATCGTCATCAA